ATGAGTAAAACAAAATTTGGCCACAAGCATTCATGTTTACAAAGCCAGAAAAAGAAAGATGAATTGCTTTCTTGCTCTTACAGCGCACAGCAACTATGGCTAGAACAATTGGCAAATCGAAGGGATTACTTCAAAAGTTGGAGAAATTTACTATCTAGCAAAATTTATTGATAAAAATTATTGAAATTCACGCTTAATGGCGTTTAATGGCAATAATAATCTTAAGCAGCGACTTTTAGCACCTGTAATTGTTGACTTAATCACTTTCCACCCAATTTGCACTTGCAGATCTTTAGCGTTCTAAGACTTGGAAAGAACAAAAAGATATTCATTCGTCTGACGGTTCATTCATTCTAGAATAGGTTGATTTGGCTCTTGCAAATTATTTAATAATTTGGAAAAATTCACAAAATTTTCCTTTTCTTTTTGTGAATCGATTAGAGATAAAAGCAATTGTACTCGATCACGCTTTAATTCAAATATGGAGATAAATTTTTCAAACTGTGCTTCTATGCATAACAAATTTTTCTCTTATTACTCACTTTTGATGGTTTGCTTGCAAATTTCTGAATGCAAATGCACTCTTGTGAAAAATTGAAATTCCGATGGCCAATGGCAAACATTTAAATCTCAAGTTTTCAATCAAAATTTTGACACTTTCACGGTTATTGCCATTTTTCAGTATTTTCGCCTCTCTTGTTTTTCTCTGAAAGCGGAAATGCATTTTTTTTCAAACCATTTTTGAGATAATTGTGTTTTTCTTTAGAAATAAAATGCAGAACTACTTCTTTTTATTACAATTTTTTTAGCACTTTCGTGTTCGGAATTCAATTCTGTTCACTAAAATTTGGTGAAATTAAAACATGACCTATTCATCTCCATTAATAGGCCTTCTTTATTATGGTCACGGAAAGAAACATTAAAAATTGACTTCTGAAAATGATATCATACTTTTTGATCATCTCAAGTGTGCATTTTAGGGTATTTCAAGCATTTACTATATTAATTGTGCGAGAATAAGTAAGATAAGACTATCTGCACACTTACACGCAACCAGTTTATACATGGAATTGTGAGATTAATGGACATAGTTTGATAACTCTGAGCAAATTTACCTTCTTAAATGTTTTGAAGGCAAAAGCCATAGAACAAAACGCATTTAAAGGAATCACAGAGCAACTGAGATTGGTGTGGCTTTTAGCTCAACCAAATAATTTGCATTAATCCATTCCCATGCAAAAAAAACCTCTATTTAATTGAGATGATTACTATAAAAGAGTTTAATTTCTTTTCTTGTACAGTTAAAAAAGCATAAGTTATTTCTTTCATGGCAGTGATAGTTTCATGCCTGACAAAGTTATCAATTCTGCTTTATAGACCTCAAAGTAGTATCATCATCTCATTAGAGATCGGGAGCGAGAAGCATAAATCTTTCTCAGATTTGAGTTTATTTTAATTGTTCGAAAAGATTAAATTATTTTCGTGTTAATTCTAAATATTGCTAGATTTCAGCTATGAGATCTCTTGCATTCATTGTTGATTATAAAAAATTTCAGTTTCAATTTTTTCTTCCATTTGCAGCATTTCTTATAATTATGTTGCACTAGAAAAAATCATAAAAATTTTAATTTCAATTTCAGCGCCAAAATTACAACTTCTCTTTTATGTGAATGCATGAGTAAATCTTCATGTTTTTGAATGATATTGAAAATGCCAATCATCTTTTAATTAAAAATACAATACAACTTATCAAATTTTTCTACGTAAATTTCGGATTTCCCTAATGTAAACACCAATGCATCTTCATATACTGGCTTTTTTCACTTACAAATATTCAAAGAAAAAACATTTCAATAAATGTAACAGGAAAAGTAGAACATTATAAAATAACAAAGCTTTAAAAATACGGCAAAATATTTTTTTAGTACAAAGAGAAAAAACAACGTGCTAAAAGTTCTATCAAAATGTTGTAGAAAAGTGTTGCTATATATGTCAAAATTTTCAGATTCTGAGTCTGATGTTGACCTCTTGGTACCATTAAAGAGCCTAATAAATGATCGTGCGGAACTTTATAAAGCCAAAGGTCTAGAAGGATTTCCTGCTGTTGGCATCAAAGTAATCTATAATCAAAATATTTTAAATATTTGATGAAGAATGCAGAAGTGAAAGATTGTCCTGCATCACAAAAATAATGACCAAAAATTACTGTCAAAGCTTTTTGCCAAAAATTACTGTCAAAATGATCACAGCGTCGAAATCAGACATTTTTTCAGCCTAATTATTTTTTTTAAAAAAGTAACATTGCAATTCTTTAAAGCAATGCAAGAAGCATTTTGCAAAATATTTGGTGGCTCTCTACAATCGGGGTAATCTTTAGTTCGAAAACATTAAGAGTAAGTTTCACGAATCAGAAAGCTGAATGCAGTCATATTTAATCATGTGGACATTTTAACTACCTTTAAAATTTGTTCAAATGATTATCAAATATTACTGCTTCACGGGCAAAAAAGAATCAGTTTTTTCCGAGCTTCGGTGCGTTCTAAAGGATGAACACAATCAATGATTAAGTTCTGTAAAATAACTCCACCTTAGCGATTTTTTGATTTCTCTAGCAATTATTACACTTTTTTTGATAATTTTGCGTGATCTTTTCTGAGAAAAGTTTTATGTTGAGATATATTTACATTTTATGTACATATATAGCCATTTTTTCATACCGCATAAGGGTATAATATTATATATAAATAGAAATATGTATCTATACATGCAAATTTCAGAATAACTTTATCAATATTTAAACATTTTTACGGGGAATGTAATGACAAAAATGAATTTTTGAATGTTTGAAATTTTAGCGTGGTATCGAAATTGTTGTTCCATACAGACAATATCTACCTCGAAGGTTTTTCCGCAATTTTGCTTTTACGGCAGTAATTCGACCGGATGATCCACAAGGAGGATATTTATTTGCTGTGGTTAATCCACTAGACACGATTGTTGATCTCGGAGTTGTTCTAGAATCAGCTGGTCAACTTATTTCTCATTAGCAATAATTATTCAAAAGATTTCATGGAATTTATTTCATCAAAATAAATGCTAAGTAATTTGTCAGGTCATAAAATTCGATAAATTCTGTTTAAATAAAAGCGTAAAGTGATATTTTTAGGTGACAGCCAAACAAATATCACATTACTTTACACGGATTCAAGCAAGGAAACAGATACCAAAGCTTTGGCATCTTTCTTGGTGCCAGAATTTATCGGAAAGTGGGCAAAGTTTGCACTGGAAATTCAAGAAGACACAGTTGTGTTGTATTTTCGTTGTACACGTTTCGCAACACGTCAGGTAACGTGAAAGATAATTGATGTGCTCATCAAAATGAACTAATTCACCTACTCACATGCGAGCTAGAAACCAAACTGTTAGCAAGATTACGTATCATCAATTTTATGACCTGACAAATTTCTTTGAACAAGCAAACATTTGAAGTTAACTTTGAATTGGTCTGATTTTCGATTTTGATTGTGTTATCTTCATTTTCGGTAACAATACAGAATTAATTTTCTATTCTCTGAGAACAGCTCTTATTTTTATGGAATTTATGTTGTGAATTCTCATCAGTGTGACTTCTTAGTACTGAATTCCTCAAAAAGAAAAGCTTTAAGAATTAGAATTAAAAATTAGAAATAAAAATATCTAAAAGAGGAAATTTTTTTGGTGAACAAAATCCAAGATGTATAGAGTTTGTAAATGAGTGCATACCAGACTTAAAGCATATCTTACTTAAGATGTTAGTAAGTTTGAAAGAGAATAAAATCTTTGCTATTTGAAAGGTAAAACGAAGACCGGTGCAACTAGTGATGGACGATGCCCACAAGTTGTATATTGCGAGCGCTGGCCCAATCTTGAAAAAAGGATTTGAAGTAAGTTTTCGTCATAATTTTTAACCACAAAAATTGTGCAAAGAGATTTTAAAAGAATCTTCTTCGGTTTTTTAATTATTTGTTAAATTCTGTCGATGCATTCGCTGGTTATTCTGGACAACAATTAAAGATTGTCTTTGAACATCAGCCATGCTTTGTCATCAAGCAAAAATGACAAAAGCTTTGCGCCTTATATTACTGTTTAACTAATGAACTGAGAAATATTGTATTCTGCAAATCAAAAAGCTGAAAATCATGAGGCTACTTTTAAAAAATAGTGCCAGCGAAGTCCGGAAAATGAAACATTAGAATGAATTCACAATGCATTTAAATAGATGGAATTCACGAAAGATATGACTGATCTATTAGAAAGAGTTTCTGTTTATGCTCTTCTCCAATGGCTGAAGACAAATTTATTTCATATTTTGATCTGGAAGTGAATGATGGAATGTATTTATTAGTGTACATTAAAGCAGTTCTCTTGGCTTTAATTTTTATGCAACTGTGCACATATCAGAAGCGAATGCGTGACTTCAATTTTTTAGATGTTGCGATTTCTTGAAAATATTTTAACCTGAATTTTAATCAAGATTTATTTCCTCATACCTAATTCAAATCTAAATTATATTTAGATTTCTAAATCATATTTAGTTTATACCTGTCCTGCGCGAACAAATTTAAATTCTAAGATTAGTTGATTTTTTTTTTCAAATAAAAATTAATTTTAGCTTTATAGCATTCTATGCAACTTAGCTTTTTAAATAAAATGTCAACCAACAAAATGATGATTTATTAATCATATTTTGTTTTAAATTTCTTCAATATAAATTCTTACCAGAATTTTACATATTTGAATTCTTTTAAGTCGTAAATTTTTATTGGAAAGAAAAAAATTATGCATTTCTTTTGCAAAATGATTTTAGGCCAAAAAAGATTGAGTGTTTTATACGGACTCACTTATTTTTATATGTACCGAAAAAGCTGATTTATTTGGAATTCGATTTCTAGTTACAACTATCAGTCTTCAGTAAGTTATAATTAAATTTTCTAGTTATATTTTCAAGTTAAATTTTATTGCTGCAAGAAATGTCGCAGTGGTAGGAAGTGCACAATCTAATTATAATTTATTAAAGACTGATAGTTGTAACTAGAAAATGAATAGCAAAGGAAGTTGTAAGATATGTTCAGAAAACTATATGAGGAACAGTTTTGATGCAATTCGTTTTCAGCAGTTGTAAATAACGCTGAATATGTTTGTTTGGAAACGAAATTCTGGTTTAGAACTTATCTTAATTCGTATTGAAAGTTTGAAAAAAATTAAATTAAAAGCAGTTCTGCACTAAGAAGTTTGCATATTACAAAAGTTGATGCAAGTTCTTTACATTTTGAGAAGATTTTGTTTTTTAAGGTTGAAAGTTTGATCGCTTTTTAAAAATTAAGTACTGTTGGCTAAAATATTTGGTACTGATCAACAGAAGTTCTCATTGAATAATTAAATCATTAACGCAGACTGCACCAATAAATGTTTAGTGATTATATTTTGATTCCTTAATCAGTTTAAAATCTCTACAATTTTTTCTGCTGCGATCTCTGAATTCAAAATTTTAATTCTTGAAATGCAAAGAGTAGTAAAAAAGCTGGCAAATAAATTCGATTTCTCATTTCAAGCATATCTTTCTTTGCTTCCTCTGCCGAGAATAATTTCATGAAACTCCAAGATCCAACGTTTGAAAAGTTTCCAAAATAAAGCATGACAAAATAAAGTCAGCCACCTTATACTAATTTTTGCTCATGCAATTCTTCTAAGTCTATAAATTAACCTTTTGATATGTCATAATGTGCTCCGAAATATTTGTTGTGATGCATGAAGTCTAATTTTAAAAGTATTTAATGAAATTAGAGAAGGCGTTTATTTCCTTTCCATATCAAGTATTTACTACTTTATTGTTATCAGTTTTTGATATCAGTAAGCCAAAGTAAATATTTGTTATCGTGTCGAAGACAGGTGATTTGATAATGCTATTACATACAATACAATAAAAAAGGTTGATATAGCAAAAACAAAAAGAAACTTTTTTATTTATTTTCTACTCTTTTCCGACATTATCTGCACAAATTAAAGTCAGCTGGTGCTACTCGTTCCATTTCACCTTTGCTCCCAACAATCATTTTCAAGCTTATACTTGCAACGAAACACATTTCGCACATTCAAATACATACACGTACTAGCGCACGCACGCACCCACTCACTCACCCAGTCATTTATTTATTATTTATTTTTTTATTTTTATTTTTTATTTATTCATTTATTCATTTATCTGTTCATTAATCAATTAGTTAATTAATCAATTAATTAAATGAATTAATGAATCAATTCATTTATTCATTCATTCACTTATTCATGCTTATCCATGTACGCATGAAAACATTTTGAGAAAAATAACATTCGTACATGATTTGCTTTTGACCTGTGAGTGCTCTCAGTCTAGAGGTCATTTTCAAAAATTTTTCATTCTTAGCCCTAGTTTCCGCAGTCAGCAAAATAGTCAACATAATTTTGCTCTATTACAGACCAAAGCACTGCTTGCATTTGTTTAAATTTGTGCGCACAGCTAGTATTGAATAAATTGATATTCATCTTACTTCTCATCCTTTCACTCTATAAAAAATAATTACAGTATTAAATATGGTATTTAAAATCTGATACGGTATTTAAATTTTCAACACCACTTTCAAATGTTTTTCAGTATAATTTCGCACATTCTTTTTCTTTCTTTCTCGGCACCGAATATGCTAATATAGTAAACTGCAAGTACTGACTGCTTCAGTATGAGACGAACTGCGGCAGAATTCATCGCATACTGAATCCCACTTCTTCACTTCATTGTGCAACTTTATTGTGTTCAGTTTCATGTGTTTTTACGAACTCTCTTTCCTAACTGATCAAAATTGGACTCTTTTATAGTAAAGAAAATATACAAAGTTTAACTAAACAATTACGATTATTTATTTCGTTGAATTTCTTTAATTGGTTGCTTTCGTATAACTCTTCTCCTTGATGGTCATTCTACAGTAAAAATAGTTGCAGTTTATGAGTCACAGCTATTTTAATATTTGGTACGATAGAAGAGTAATGATATCATCAAAGAGCTCAGAAAGTATAAGCGTAAACTAACGATTCCTATGAGAGTGATTATTTTGAAAAAAGTTTATTATCACACATTATATTTCAAGGATTAAATTATTCCCATTTCCAGTTTGACTTGTTAGGCTTAGCTTCAAGAAGTGTTGAAAAAGGAACTGTGCCTGACCTCTGACATGAGTAACGAAATGAAAAATTTTCTTAGTAAGAGCTTCCGAACACCATTTTTAGATATTGGAGAAAATTTTTAAAATTTTCGTGTTTAAGTGCAGTTCCTGAACCTTTTGGAAAAAAGTGTATAATTTTGTTGGCAAGTAATTAACTTCCATCTTGATATTTTGCTGAGACTCAGTTGTTAAATGCTGAAAAATCTACTAATTGGTATATTTTCAAAAATTTTGTGAATCGACTTGGCATTGATAACTCTGGCAATCAGTCATAAATGTGAAATAAAAAACTATCATAGAAAAGATCAATAATGCTCAAATTAGCTAGTGATCGACTTTGCGCTTACTCAGTAGTTCATTGGAATACTAATTCCTTGCATTATCCAACGTGAAAATCTTCGCAACGTCTGTCATACTTCCTCATTACAAAGCATTTTGTGCTAGCCACAAATTCACTAAATTTGATGTTAAATCTCAGAAAAAAATTTTACAGACATAATTCTATTAACTAGTAGTTTTAAACTCTTTTTCATCAATAAAAATAACGGTTATTTGCTGCGAGTCAATGACTAGTCCAAGAAAAATCTTTGATTGATCATTAATCACTTATTATCTCCCATTTTTTGGCAATTATATTTGGACTATTATATTCAACACGATCAAAATCGAGCATTCAGAATAAAATTGCCAGAAAATATAATTGCCAAAAAATGGGAGATAATAAGTGATTAATTTCAAAATTTAATTAAAACGCCTTTAAAGCTATAATACTTAAAACAAAGAGAAAAAAAGTTGGAAAATAATTTTGTAGACATAATTATGTAAAAAATATTAATGCATTAATTGAGGCTAAATGGCAAAGCAGACAAAATTCTTTTTCACATCCATTACTCAATCATAATTGCTAGTTTATTCTGAATGCTCGAATTTGATCGTGTTGAATATAATAATGAATATGTTAAAATTATTGGAAAATTAGTGATAGAATTGGTCTTTACTAGTGCCAGGAACAAATCATATTTAAAATACTTACTAGATTGAGATAACAATAATTTTTTTTGTAACTTAAATACTTGCGGAGTAAATCAGCGCACACTAAAACTTAAATAACACAATTATGATCAGCAATCAAATGGCAGTCATATACACATCCGTTGTAAACTACATTAATTGTAGTAAGATTAAAATTTATATAATCCGCTATATACTATGAATAATAAAGTATCATTAAGCAGGCTTCTCATTCTTCAGTAATTGCTGAAAAATTCCTCCAGCATTTGATTTATTAATATAGCTCTTCCGTGTTTATTTTACGACTGAAACATGACCTTGTGTTTATTTTATGGACTAAAACATGTTTTTTCGTAGCTGATTTTAGAGACAGGTTGTGTTTTCTTTCATAGCTAAGTTGTGTAACAATCTCTGCCACTTTTTATTTCTGATGAATGAAAACTGTCAAAAACATTGCACAATTACTGGTTGAAAACGATGCAAAGATACAACTGTTTGTTTATTTATTCGCACATTTCATCAAAAAAGAGCGAAAATTGCAGTACTGCCAGTGCATGCATGCATACACCAATAATAAACACACAAAAATCTCAAACACACATAATTGAACAAGCAAAAACCTAAAATCCATCGCTTTTATTACACTTGGCAATGCATGTTGTAAGTATTCTTGCGTATCACGTTTGTAATTTCAAAAATTCAAA